CATCAAATTTACCCGATCTCTTCAACACGAAGGAAAGTGTCATCTTCAAACAATCAGACTTCCTCATCACGAAGAAACCGTATTGTCCCCAAATTGACTTGATTTTCTCATCACGAAGGAACAACTTCATAATCGAAAATGACATGATCTCTTCAACACGGATGAGGAGTGTTGTCTTCAACATCAAATTGACCCGATCTCCTCAACGCGAAGGAGATGTGTCATCTTCAGACAATCAGACTTCATCATCACGAAGGAACTGTATTGTCCCCAAATTGACCCAATTTTCTCATCTCGAAGGAACATCGTCATAATCGAAAATGACTCGATCTCTTCATCGCGGATGAGCAGTGTTGTCTTCAACATCAAATTGACCCGATCTCCTCAACGCGAAGGAACAGTGTCATCCTCAGACAATCAAACTTCCTCATCACGAATGAACCGTATTATCCCCAAATTAACCTGATTTTCTCATCACAAATGAACAACGTCATAATCGAAAACGACTTGATCTCTTCATCGGGATGAACAATGTCCTCTTCAACATCAAATTGACCCGATCTCCTCAACAAGAAGGAGTAGTGTCATCCTCAGACAATCAGACTTCCTCATCACGAAGGAATCGTATTGTCCCAAAATTATCTCTTGATTGACCCGATTTCCTCATCATGAAGGAACAACGTCATAATAAAAAACGACACGATCTCTTCAACACAGATAAGCAATGTCGTCTTCAACATCAAATTGACTCGATCTCCTCAATGTGAAGGAGCAGTGTCACCCTTAGATAGTCAGACTTCCTCATCATGAAGGAACCATGTTATATCCAAATTTACCTAAAAACGATCAAAACTCTTCATCGTGGATGAGAAGTGTCATCTTCAGCAACAAATTTCATCAACAAACAATGATTATTTGAAGAATATGGGACTGGTCGAAGAGAGAAGAACTCGTCCGAAGAGAAACAAGAATTTCAGAAAGAAAAGAACGAGTGGTTAGAGAATTTAAGTAATTCAAGCCAAAAATGGTGCTTTAAATCTTTGCTTCATTCATGTTTCACAACAATGAGCAAAGAGGGGCAGCTGTAAACATCATTTTTTGTCCACCCTGTCATCAGCCCATGCTCCACTCACCAGCACAATTCCTTGATGTTCCCCACTCAAGTGCCTGCCCATACCCTGCCACACCAGCCCATTCCCTGCTATTCCTGCACTATCACAACATCAAATACTGCCCATGCCTTGCAGCTTTCCCATGCTCCACTTTTGTTTTTATTTCTCTATGTAAGGGTATATAACCCGAATTGAGTGTAACAAAGGGGGGAGATTCGAAAAAACGTAAGAGAGGCCCTCGATTCGAACTGAAAAACAGATTGTAGGGAATTTTCTTCCCATTTTTTCTCAAGAAATCAATACACATGAAAAATTTTCAGATTCATAAACAATATTTTCCCAAAGGTATTTTCATTTTTTTCTTACATGCATGATTAGTTTTGAAATTAGAATAGGGAGTTCGGTTTACCTGGTTTCCAGTTAGCTCGTCGGAGTAACAAGGTCACCGGGAAGGAGGTCGTCGTTCGTCGGAGTTGAGCTGGAATGGTCGGTAGTTTGGCCTTTGTTTCCTGGTCAGTATTGCGTGAAGAAAGGGGAGGGGCCAAACTGTTTGGGGTTTTCACTAAAATAACAAGCAGATTGCTTTAAAATGATTTTTGGGTTAATATCACCTATGGCCCCATTTCTTATCATCCTTTACATTGATCGCTTAAGGTATTGAGTTATTCACGTTGAAGCCCTTTAACATTTAGCGAGTTGTTGTAAATTGGTCATTAAATATTTGCATAAAATTGCGTTTAAAAACCTCTAATGTTTCTGTGTTTTTATTCCAGTCCCTATAGCTCTATGTTTGATATATTTCATTTTTTAGCACTTAAGTTTCGTTATTCATAATTTAGTCACTAATATTCCATATTTTCTGTTTTATTTATCTATGATGTGAGTACATTAATTTTTGTTATTTTTATTTTAGCCACTGATTTGTTAATACTCTAACACTTACTTCATTCAAACTAACATCCTAACTTTTTATTTTATTTGTTCATACTATCTTGTTAATTTTTATTTTACTTGTTATTATTAAGTTATAACCTTTTATTTTATTGCATAACTAACCTACTAACTTTTAGATTTATGCAATTTATTTTGTTTATTTATTTATTTTTCAGCACCTTAATTTTAGTATTTTACTTTTCTGTCTTTTAACTTTCCAACATTTTCTTTCAGTCCTCTTTTATTTCCAGCATTTAGTTTTCAATAATTACATTTTGGCATCTTAACTTATTATTTCATTTTATTTTGGTCATAGATCTTGTTTATGATATATTTATATTTTTGTTTCGGTCTTATTTATTTACACTCTGGTTGGTATGATGTTTTTAATCTCGATGGATAATTTAGAAAGCTTGCATATTGACCCCTTATTTATGTGCATATTTAAATAATTATTAACACCCTCTTTTATAAATCATCATTGTCTTTTAAATATGTAAATGGGAAAATGTTTATTGTGTGGGAAATCTATGAAGACATATCCCAACTAAAGGGAAGATATCTTTTCGATGATATTTTGCATAAATGTTTGTTTGTATTCGATAATTCTTTTTGTTCTACGTTTATTTATTTTGATTATTTTTTAACTCTTTTCATTTTTATTTCATTTCATTTTGTTTTATTTTACTTTGTCAAAAATTGTGAAATAACGTTTTTATGAGGGAATCTATGAAAAAATCTCCAAACTATAAAGTAAATGCGTTTTCAAAGATTATTTACATTTTAAACAAATTCAAATAAATAAAAGATCATAATTTAAATACATTCCGAAGTTTGTAATTCTCAATATTTAAACATTGTATAATCGTTTAGGTATCAAAATTTGGATGTTTTGGGTACTCACCCTTCCCCACATGTAACCGATTCCTGAACTCTTAAAAACGAATTTTTGGTAAAACGCATACCATTTTGTTGTCTTTTAATAAGTTTTCTAAACTCATTAAAATGATGTTTAAGGTTTTCAATATATTTAGCTTAAAGGTTGGTGACGACTCCAAGATCAAATTGTTTTCAAATCGAATTTCATCGTTTCCCCCAAACTAAATTTTTAAATTCTAACAGATCCCCACGAGATTACAATTTTTTATTTTTTAAAAAATTAATTGAATCCTTCCAAAATTATCAAAAGTTATCAGAAAATCTTAAATTTTCTAAATATTTTTAATTAAATCTATTAATTTTTAAATATTGCAATTAAACCTTCAAAAAGATTCAATTACATCTTCAAACTATCTCATCAAGATTCGTCATTGATAAAAACATGTTATTCTTTTTACGATGAAATCGAAACAATTCCAAATCCAAATATCACATGTAAAATTAATAATTACATTTGAATCGTGAATGAACCGTAGCAAATAATATTTTAGTTTATACGAATGAAATTGTCAGAGAAAACTTTTCATATTTTTCCCACAAGTCCCTTTGTCTTAAATACCTAGAGAGAGTACCTAAAACATCAAGCAATCCTAGAGAGAGAGTACCTAGAGGTTGTTAGATCAAACCCCTCACAAGGTTTCCCTGAGCAACATTTCATGGTTGATGGGTTCACTTGAATGACCATGTAATTCCCAGCAAACAGATCACCAAAATGAGCTCGACTCTCTTTCAACGTCTTCACCAGCTTCCCAAATGAGACCCTGGCAACCCTCACCTTCTTCCCCAAATACCTCCCCAGGCTTGGAACCTTAACCCTGAATCTCTTGATCTTAACTGATACCCTTCTGAGCCTCTCCCATGGCCTTGATTTCCCTGCAAACCTATCGGCTCAAGCTCATCATGCTTCAGTCTCTGGTAAGAAAACCCGGTAGCTGAGCCTGAGGTCATCCCCAACGCTTTTGCTTTGGGGATCTTGGAAAAGCTGAATGATTGGAAACAAGGGTGGCTAGCTAGCGCCTCCCAATTAAGCTTGTGATAACTCCATTGAAATGTAGATGGTTGGTTGGTTTTGCTCTAAAGTTGGACTTCATTAAATGCAAAGGGTATCATTTTTTTCAAGGGTAAATTATAAATTTCATATATTTTTATTTCACTTCTATTTTGAGTCACTGAAATGGAAGGGTGATATAAATGTCAGGTGGACTGATGTCGTCGTAGAATTCATAATATTTTTTTATTATTTTTCTCTAAAGATGAAAACTTTATAATTTCATCTTTATGTTGTATTAATGTTATAATTATTATTCTTTGATGTATTCTTCGACCATAAAGATTTCAAAGAATTCACTTTATTGTCTCTTACCATTCTATTAAAATCTTTAATTTTACCTAAATCACTTTAGAATTCATCAAAACTCATAAAATCTTGAACAACCATGTTCTATAATATCTACCATTCGATCAAAATGGAATCAAGATATACAATTTTTTTTCCTCCGCCTCTCAACTGTTGAGATTTGAAAGAAGATACTAAATTATCGAGAAATCAAATGAAATTCAAATCTAAAAATTTTTCAAAAAAGGAAAAAAAAAGTTTCGATAAAATTTTATAACTTTCAAAAGAAAAACTTATCATCATAATATCGTTGATATTTATCGACAGAGTGATCAAAATAATAGTAAATAAAAAATTTAATAAGTAAATTAAAAAGAAAAGTTAAATGTTAATGATCAAAACAAAAGTGAAAAGAAAGTTTAGTGATAAAAACTTTGAAATTTATCATTTTTTTAGTTGGGATGATCCCAAAAGACCATTACATCAATTGGGAATTAACTTAACTAAGGGACAATTTAAATTTTTATGGAAACAATCTGTAATAAATTAGCAACAGATTGAAAAATTAACAAAGATTCATCTAAAGATTTAATAAATTTGATAAGACCATCAGTAATCATGTTTATTTGCATCGAATCAATTGGAAATCAACCATGCAAACTCTCTCTCATAACCCTGCAATTAAAATAATCAAATATTACAAAATGTACAAAGAATTCAAATCAAAAGAGAATGGACAGAAAGGATGATTGGGAGCCCTCTTTGACTCCCCTAACCTATCACTATTTGCATTTTCTCAATGACAAACCACCAAACCATGAATGATGGGGGTAAACACTGTTTTAGTTCAAAAGTAGAGCTTTATTCTGGTTTGGATTGGACTTCGGCATATCGGACACGTTTGGAGGTCCTTCGCGCATTCTTCACAGGTCTGAAAGAAACAAAGATAAAAGGTCAGTATTATGCCAGCATCTTCATCTACGATTACCTACACCAATAACCGATTACGAGATGTTTACCTGATGTCCGCAACCGAATGCCATGTCTTTCGAGTTACTAAGGCAAATGGCACAAAGCTGTTCAAAGCAATCGCAAGAGAATATAAATGTTAAGCCTTCGGATGAATCATCACATATGCAGTTTACAATCTTTAGGTCTTTGATCCTTTAGGATTTTGGATCGAAAGTTGAACGCAAAGGCCATTTATCATTAATAGAAGATATACGGGCTGATAGATGTATTATATTAAAACTTCCGTACCTGGCTATCATAGGTAGAACTCGGGGCTGGAGGAGTTGGGCTCTGGGATTTACCATCTTCCGGATAAGGAGGGACGCTTGGTGGGAAACTGGTAGAATGGGACGGTTTTGAGCTGTTGAAAGATGCTGAACCATATTGGAGACTGGTAGAACGGGAGGGTTTTGAGCTGTTGAAAGAAGCTGCACCATATGTAGGAGGAGGTAAGGGAAATCTCTCGGGAACATTTCCCTTTCGACTACTGCACAAATAAATCAAAATCATCATCAAACTTAATGTCATTAAAGGGTAATACAGAAACCTTTAAAAAGGCCAACATGTAACGAATCATTACCCCAAAATATTAAGCTCAATGGTTGCTTTGTACTGTGAAGGAATCTCCATTAGAGCGGCTAGAGAAAATTCTGTTTCCTTCCGGGATGGGGATGTATTCTTCGACATAATCTCCGTGAAATTCACAAACTAGAGAAAATACAGGAGAAAGACCACAGTGATTGAAGCATCATGATAATACCATTGGAACAAAAGATGGTAATATCGAACATGAAACTTCTTGTATGCAACTCGGAGTTTACCTGAAAATTATCAAATGCTCGAGCAGGAATGTTGTCGTCAAACTCCTCCATCGTATCCCAAGGTCCATCTCCAACACCCACCAATATAATTGACAGAGGAAACTTGCTGAAATATGAAAAACAAGTAAGAAAGAAAGTGGTTGCACCGAGAAAGAATAAAAAAAGAGTATTAATTTACCGAATGCTTGAGCAGGAATGTTACCTTGCTTGCACTATGGCATCGACAGTTTTCTGCTCTTGTGGACTTAGCTGGCCATGCTGAGTATCAACGCTTCTAGTTACCTGAAACAGTTATCAGTGTTAGTGACATTATGCCTATATGAAACCTTCATGTCAGCATGTTTTATTCATATTATTCCCGTACCAGCCCTTAAGGCTAACACAAGTTTACTTCCTGCCCCTTCTTTATTTCAAGAAAGTGTCGAAAATATGTATACATACACAAAGTGAGAAAAATACCTGACCATCAGCGATTATCACTAGCACGTGGTACTGGCCACCGCTCTGCTCAACAATGGTCATTGCCATTTCAATGATAGGAGCAAATGATGTAGGTCCTGGAAAAAATTGTAATAATTATTTTAATCAGATATGCATCAAGAGGTAACTCTGAATAAGTATTAAAAAAACAAGAGATAATGTAAACCTGCAAGTCGTAGATGTGGCACAATTTCTCTATAGAGGCTTAAGACTTCCTCGAATCCATTACAAAATCGGTCATCCGGGTAGAAACTAAAAACATTTTGATCATGTGTTGATGCTGCCAAAAGATACAAGTAATTCTTAGCATATGCATTTAAATAAATAAACATTCTCGTATATAAATCAAATGAAACACGTACCATCACCAAATCCAAAACAAGGAATTAAATTATCCTCATCAAAGGCAGCTAATGTTTTTCCAATAATTGATATTGCTTGTTCGTAAGGATTTGAACCATCTCCAATGTGGTGCAAGCTTTTTCTATTGAATGATCTTTTCCCTACAAAAACAAGGTTGATTAAGTGGATTCCAATACGGCTAACAACATAGATTACTCCTGTAAATTAAGATAGTTGAGCTAAACCTGTCCACTCGTTGCTCTTTGTGAAATCAATACCGACAATGAGATTGGAAGATTCCAGACCAGCTTTAGCAAGAGCCTCTGTCACCTGTAACCAATTGATTAAGCAACAATTACACATCATTGTCCTGCATAAGGATAAAGCATAAACTAATATAAAAACTAACAAAATTGAAATAAATGTAGATATTAACCTGATCTAAGGAGTTGTAATTGTCTGCAATTCTTGAAAATCTTCGGTCTAGAGTCCTTTTATCACTGCCACGGTTTTGCGAAGGTGGATAATACTGCAGCTCTGGTTGTGAAGGCGGATAATACTGTGGGGACGCATAGCTATACTGTGGCACATAATGAGGGCTTTCTTGATCATACGACAACTGAGGATTGCTGTTACGAGAATCCCATGATGATGAATTCGAACGATATGTTGAATTCTGCCTCTGATTCCCTTCCTTTGAACTACTACCTCCCATCAACTCAAATATTTATAGAAATCCTCAATTTGTTACAAAAACAGATTCCTTTGTCCACAAATACCAGAATACCGGGTAACTTGAAAGCCTGATATAAATGCACAAACAAGAAGCAATCTGAGAATCACAATTAAGGAATGAAATCACCAAAGAAACTTCCTGAAATCTTCTACAAGACCCTCTTCTCCTTTTCAACTATATTGATACACCGCACAATATCAATCTTAAACCAAATCAATATTAAAACAGAAACAAGCATATATATAAAGAAGCCACCAAACAGATAAAAAATGGAAAAGCCACCAAAGCAAGCATTCAATATATATATATATTGAAACGATGTCTACTATTTAGAATTTCCTAGAAACTTCAAATTTTCCTTCTTTACCAAAAACTCAAAGACCAATTCAGAGACATAAGCTTCTCCTTCACTAATTTTAAAACAAGCAAGGAAAAACCTTCCTTGCTAAGTATATATGTTCCCGATAAGTTACTCCCTTGGAACTTATATTACACCAAGACTCAACCTAAATGGATTAAAGAATCAAGAACAAATCATATCCTATTAATAATAATAAAGACCTTATTAGCCAGCAAAGACAACTTAAATTCACTTTCAACGAAAAGTAAAACGGTGGCTCCAATCAACGAAACGCCAAAAAGCACCGCTGTTTCTTATCAACAAAAAAGCCATGAATTCTGAAGAGACCCTTTTCTGTTAGCGGCTGATAATTGCTTAAGACTAAAGAGAGATTGAAAAATAGCGAGTTCTCAAGATTTTAAGTGTGAAAGTAAACAAGAATTGAAACTGGGTTAAATCTAGAAGAGGAATTACAATACCTCTAACTATAATTGAAGTAGGCAAACTTGCAGAGCATCAATGGAGGATCTGGGTATCTTTCTTTGCTTTTTGAATTTGTTGATAAATAACGTAAGAGAAATGAAAAAAAAATAATAAAAAAAAGTGGACTTGCTTTCGTAAAAGTATATACTTTTTTTATCTGAATGTTTTTTTAATGAAACTGCGAAATGGACGTCACATGGAAGTCGCCGGATTTTGGAAGTTCTTATAAATTTAGATATTATGGATTTATATAGGTACTAAAATTGAAATTATTTTAGGGTACAAACCAAATAATTTCATTGATAATAAATTTATTATTATACATTAAGGTATCATATTCAATCACTCATGTCAAATATAAACTTTATTTTTGAATAATTAAATTTCCTTTTTTTCTATAAGAAGAACTAAGCAGAATGACATCCAGTCACATCTTTGACAAGAAAATGTCAAAACATTTTATAACTTTATTTTAGGGTAAATCACGCTTCTGGTCCTCATTTATTTATTAATAATCGAAAACAACATTTTATAACTTTTAGGATAAAGAACATAAATGGTACCCCACTATAGGATGTTGTTTTAGTGAATAATTGATTATTAAAAATTATAAAATGATCATTCGATTATTTTATGTATTTCAAACTGGACTTTTTCCGTTACATATTTAACGACCATCTAAGTTGGTCGTTAACCTGCTGACTTAACTATTAACGTGGCAGCCACATTTTATTGGTGAATTTAAAAGTCATTTTAAAATGTCATGTTTGGGTTTAAGAATTCAAAAATACCTTTCATTTATTTAATTAACATTTCATTAATTTAAAATTAATTTTTTATAATAACAGAAGGGTTAAATGAGTTGACTGCAAGTTTTGGGTAAATTAAGGTTTTTTTCACTTTTAAAATTGGATGTTTTGACTAAATTAAGTGATTAGATACTCTAAAAATTAGGATTAAAGATTAACTACGACGGAAGAAAAGAAAAGCTCGCTATGGTATGTTATTACAAACCCTGTGTTTAGATTTACTGGCAAATGTATTAAATTTTATGACTTCTATAACACTAATGACATGAGCATGTTAGAGCTTGATGATATGGTTCAACTGTTAGGATTTAGAGGCCTTGTTAAATTATATTAGAAAAGAGAAGAGGAGGAATTAAGTGCGGAAACAATTGGACAGTTGAATACTGATCAAGATGTACTGGATTTAATAGTTAGCATGTCTAAGGACCACTACCTTCACGTTTACCTAGTTGAACAACCATTGTTAAATAAAAGAGAACATGTTGAGGTTAATGTTGGTGCACATCCTAACTTAGGATAAAATGAGTTGAATGAGGAATAAGATGTATGGCATACTAATTTAAACGAGGAAGAATTAGAACATGATGATTTCGATGGGGAATTTGTGTTTGAACATACAGAGATTAATAGATCTGATGATTCAAATGATTCTGATTCTATTTTTGTAAAGACCGATAATGATGTGAGTGATAGGATAGAACACATCAATAAGTTTCTTGCGGACAATTGCTATTCAATTTCGACTTAATGCAAGATGTCATTAAGGACCATAATACTATTGTGTCTCGAGCCAAGTGTAATAGGACAAGAAAAAATACCCTTGAACTAATAATGGGAAGTCAATAAGGAGCGGTACACAAAAATATATAACTATCTTGCTGAGCTTTGATAGACCAATCCAGAAACCTCAACCATATACTATTTAAATGAATGTTTATTTCAAAGGATGTGTATTTGCATACAAGCATGCAAAGATGGATTTAAAGGTGGATGCAGACTAATGATCAGTCTTTATGGTTGTCACCTAAAAGGGTTCTATGGTGGGCACCTATTGTCTGCAATTGGAATAGATGCTGATGATTGTATCTATCCCATTGCATATGCTTGTGTTGAAAGTGAGTATTATGAATCTTGGGCTTGGTTCCTTGATATTTTGAGGAATGATTTGGATATTCAAATTCTTTCCATGTTTCTTTCATGTCAGACAGGCAAAAGGTACAAATTTTTTTAAAATTTTTATTTTTAATTAAGATATTATTAACACTTTGCATACTTATTTGCAGGGACTTATGGATGTCATTGCAGAAATTTTCCCGAATGCTAAACACAGAACATGTGTTAGGAACTTATTCACCAATTCTAAGTCAATAGAAAGTAACAAGGGCCTCAAGAATCTTCTTTGGAGAACTGAAGATCAACAAATCATACAATGGCAACGATGAAGGCTATCTCAACCCCTTCTTATGAATGGTTGGCTAAGAGAGACACTGTTCAATGGTCTAAGTCCAATTTCACAAGTAAGACTAATATGTTGCTAAACAATCTCTGTGAATATTTTAACAATGTACATGGATACTAACATATTTGACACTGACATGTTTAAACTAATAATTTGAAAATAACATATTTTTTTGTTTGTGCAAGTTTATACTGGAAGCACGAGAGAAGCCTATCCTTACCATGATGGAGGCAATAAGGGCTAAGATAATGCAAAGGATAACAAAGAAATAAGCAGCAGCTGAGAAATATGTTGGCCCTTTATATCCCAAAATTCGAAAAAAGATGGAGCTTATAATTGAGCTTTCTTATAAGTAAAGAACATTGCCAACTGTGATTTTATAATTACTAGATATTAATATTCTTCCATCAACTACAAATGTTGGGTTAAACATGCTGGTGGCCTAAATTAACAAGTTGAATATGCCCAAAGCAGTCAACATGTTGTGGACATACATGCTTCGACTTGTACATGTAGGAGACAAGAGTTAGCATGCATCCCATGTAATCATGATGTGGTTGTGATGCTAATGACAAATGAAAAGCCAGAGAATTTTGTTGATGTATGCTACAACAAGACCACGCAACTTCAGATATACTCAGGTACATTAACTCTATTAGAAGACCAAATCAATGGACTCCTTAACAACGATGTCAGTCAATATTGCCTCCACATTGAGAAAGCCACCTGGAAGACCTACCAAAGCTAGAAGAAAAGAAGTTGATGAACCGACTATCACTTTACCAAAATTGAGCAGAAAATAGGTGAAACTGAATTGCACCAAATGTGACAAACCATGTCACAATGTAAGGACTTGTAAGGGAGAAGTACGTGGTAATAGGAGAACTGCCCCGAGGGTAACAGCTTATATGCATTTTCAATAATTTTTTTTAGATTATAAAACATATTATGTTTTATTAACTTAAGTATTTTCTACAAGATCATTGCACCAAATGTGACAAACCATGTCACAATGAAAGGACTTGTAAGGGAGAAGTACGTGGTAATAGGAGAACTGCCCCGAGGGTAACAGCTTATATGCATTTTCAATAATTTTTTTTTAGATTATAAAACATATTATGTTTTATTAACTTAAGTATTTTCTACAAGATCGAATGAGAGGTTCCACTAACCAACCTTCAACTATCCAACCTCCAACTCAGTAGTCTCAGACTCCAATCTAACAACCTACAATTATTTCTAGGCAGAAACTATCTTTTAAGAGGAAGGATCCTAATTCAACATAATCAAAGAACAAGTATTTCAAGGCAACAAGAAAATGTGTTTCCTGTCAGATGGATGTCATTCAACCCTAAAAATGGGTTTATGATAATTCCAATCATAGAAGAGAGTATTGCTATAACCTCAAGCACAATCACAAAGAATATCACAGAAGATAAGGTGGACCAAGGAATATTTATCTGAGTTTATTATTTTAAAGAATCATTCTTGATTCATTGAATATAGATGACTGTTTGATTTGACATTCAGCAATGAAGTTTGTTTATCTTGCTTGATTCTTGCTTTAAAAATAAATAATATTACTTGTCAAATTTGAAGTCTTTCTGCTTTAATTTAGAATTTTACTTTAATTCAAATGTAAAAAAAATGAACAAATATTTCATTTTTTTGTAGAACTATCAGAAAAAGTTTTAATTTCCCAAAATGATATAACACCCTGTAAATGAAAACAATTTATAATCCAGAGCAAGCCAAATTCATCCTGCTTGGTTTGAATCAAAACACTTCAATTTCTGTTATAAGCATTTAACTTTCAAACTGTAAATATTTTTATTAACAATGGAAGGATATATAATAAGTATGATAATATGAAAAGTGGAATGAAAGCCACCACGTTCATCTGTTACTTGAATAACCTTTAGGGTCACCTTAACATCAAAAGCCAATATGATAGTAGATTCATTTTTCCTTTTTAATGTCATTTTTCTTATCCAGGGTCTGTGCCTATACCACAGACATTAATATTTACATCTGAAGTTTTCAGATATTCAAGCAACGTTTCAGATGTGTACAAACAAAAATTTAACCTCCTTCATGATG